GGGCCAGGACACAGCTTTCCCCGGCGCCGGGAAACAGCTTTCCCGGTGCTGGGACACAGCTTCCCCCGGCGCCAGGAAAACTTAAACATTTTTCTTCTATATTAACTCAATGGGATTTTTCACCGGCGCCGGGAAACAACTTTCCCGGCGCCGAGACACAGCTTCCCCCAGCGCCGGAAGAACCTACATAATTTTCTTCGAGTCTTGGGTAGGAATGAATGTGACTTTTTCCCGGCGCTGGGAAACAGCTTTCTTGGCGCCGGGGCACAGCTTGTCCCGGTGCCGGGAAAACCTCTCCGGCACCTCGCCCCGAAAGCTCATTCCAAAACCTTTTCGGAACCTCTATTGGAGGCTCGCTCCGGAACCCTTCCGGAACCTCGCTCCGGAACCTTTTCCAAAGGCCGCTTTGGAACCTCGCTCCGCAACCTACCTCGCTCCGGAACCTTGCTCCGGAACCTCGCTCCGGAACCTCGCTCCGAAACCTCCAGAACCTCGCTCCGGAACCTCTCCGGAATCCGCTCCAGAACCTCTCCGGAACCTCGCTCCGGAACCTTGCTCTGGAACCTCTGCAACCTCGCTCCAGAATCTCTCCAGAACCTCGCCCCGGAACCTTCCCAAACCTCGCTGGAACCTTGCCCCGGAACCTCCGAATCTCGCTCCAGAACCTCGCTCCAGAACCTCTCGCTCCAGAATCTTTCCGGAACCTCTCCGGAACCACTTTGGAGTGAAGGTTCCAAGAAAGTTTCGGGAGCGAGGTTCTGGAGGTTGCGGAGCAAGGTTCCGGAGCAAGGTTGCGGAGCAAGGTTCCGGAGCAAGGTTCCGGAGCAAGGTTCCGGATCCAGAAAGGTTCCGGAGCGAGGTTCCGGAAAGGTTCCGGTATAACCTCTCGGAACCTTCGGAACCTTGCCAGAACCTCGCTCCGGAACCTTTCCGAAACCTCGCTCCAGAACCTCTCCGGAACCTCGCTCCGGAACCGCTCCAAACCTGAACCTTGTTCCGGAACCTCTGCGGAACCTTGCTCCGGAACCTCTCCGGAACCTCGCTTAACGCTCGCTCCGGAACCTCTCCGGAACCTTGCTCCGGAACCTCTCCAGAACCTCGCTCCGGAACCTCCCAGAATCTGAACCGCTCCGGAGCGAGGTTCCGGTCTCCAGAACCTCGCTCCGGAACCTCTCCGGAACCTCGCTCCGGAATCTTTTTTGAACTTCGCTCCAGAACCTGTTTGGAACCTCGCTCCAGAACCTCTCCGGAAATTTGCTCCGGAACCGCTCCGGAACATTGCTCCGGAACCTCTCTGGAACCTCTCCAGAACCTCGCTCCGGCTCTCCGGAACCTCGGAACCTCTCCGGAACCTTGCTCCGGAACCTCTCCGGAACCTCACTCCGGAACCTCCGGAACCTCGCTCCGGAACCTCGCTCCGGAACCCTCGCTCCAGAACCTCTCCGGAACCTCGCTCCGGAACCTTGCTCCGGAACCTCTCCGGAACCTCGCTCCGGAACCTCTCCAGAACCTCGCTCCGGAACCTCTCCGGCACCACGCTCCGGAACCTTTTTTAGGGGCCGCTCCGATTCGCTCCGAAACTTATTTGGGCAGAAGACCCCAAAGCTAAAGCTGTTGGGGAATAGAATAGAATGAGGAGCATCTTTTTTTCCTCTTCGACATGAGGCGGCACGCAGGGAAATCCAATGAATCACCAGTGTGGCCCTAGGAAACCGTTAGCCCAGCGCTAGAGATTTTTTAGAGCATCTGGATTGTACATGTCTTGAAGGAATTGATGAGCTTCCGGAAGTGTTGCTGTGCCGTGTATGACTAGAAAGAATTCGCAAAACAAGCTCCGCGGTAGAAGCTTTCAATAAACTTCACAATTCCAACAGGAATCTGCTGCGTAACAGTAGCCCGATTTTTATCTTCACATATGAGGCGGCACGCAGGGAAAGCCGAATTTTAGACCATTTCGGGAACAAGCATTTCGGAAACAGCCCACATGATTCAAGAAGCGGGCTTGTAACGCATGACTCAGCCGCTTGACGCAAAGCGTTGGTTATTGTTTGGCGGAGAAGGGGTGGCGGGGGTGCGGGAAGAATCTTTGAAACCTTGGTAGGAAGGGGCGAACTGAGAAAGGACCATGATTTTGTCACACTTCCCCTTACACGCCCTGAAGCCCTTCACTCAGGCCGGCCACCGGGCGGCTCCAAGACAACAGCTGTGCCGCGACCAGTGTTCGGATAATGGGCGAAGGGTGTAGGTTTTGGATGTAAAGCGGGTTCATTGAGAAATGTTATAGGGTCAACTCACTGTTGGAATTTTGGGCGAACTCACACTTCAAGGCGTATGGGTTAGGGTGCGCTTAGCTGTAGGAGCTGGAGTCTTGAATTATCGCAGAGCTTTCTGTGCTGACATTCGGTATCGGGCGCATGTTTAAGCTTAGGGTTGTCCAGACACTAAGCTTTGCGTTCGGGATTTGCAGTGTGAACTTGAGGAAAGGATGGGATTCCAGCCTTGTGTTGGGGTCCCACAGCTGTGGATCCTAGAGTCTTTTATTCAAGGCAGCGTGCAAATTTCTGTCCTGCGTGTATAGATACTAAAGCAGCTAGAAGCTCCGCCGTGTATGCACGGGGGTTGCAGCTTTTGTTCAATCCGTGGCCCAGTATGACATTTGCAGTTTCACGGATGTCCCTTGAAAGCTTTCATGGATTAGAACTTCACGTTATGAACCTAAAAGCTTGCACCCCAAGCCTTGGCTAAATTCCACACAACTTTCTCCTGAGATCTGACTTGCTTGTCCCCAAGATCACTCAGATCTTGTAGACCGTTGCAGAGGCTGTTAAGATCTACCCACGCAGTCTAAAGCGTCCAAGCTCAGAAGAGGCTGCCATTAGCCTATAAAACTTGGCATTAGCTGAGGTCCGTTATGAGCATATGTGGGCAAGAAGAGGGCCCTCCATTGCAACATGTCTTTCAGGCGCCCACTGCGGTGCTTGATAGCTTGAACGACCTCATCTCTGGGAGCGGCTTTGTTTCGCTCAGGGGATTGGGACCTAGGAAGTAAAAGGGGACAGAGGAGGAGCAAAAGTGACAGCGCAAGAAGGAGAACGTTGCAAGCTCTTGTCCTGGCCACACGGGATGGGGGTTCTGGGCTAAGGGTTGTCATTGCGGTTTCGAAGGGGTTTTTGGTTTAGGGGGGTTTGCAGCTAGGGGTTGTAGGGTTTAGTTTATTGTCACAGATTTTCTAGGGTTCAGAATTTTTTGGTCAAGGATTTTGAGAGAGTGCTAGGTATTTAGAGAAAGCGCAGACAGCACAAGGGCTTTCCTCGTAGGAGTGGGAGGAGGAGGAGGAGGAGGAGGAGAGCGGCAGCGGCAGCGGCAATGGCGGCAGCAGCGGCAGCCGCAGGAGCAGCAAGAGGAGGAAGCGGGAGGACACGCCTTCGGCATGCCGTACCTCAATTTGCGCTCTGCTTTCACATCTTACTGAGATCGTCAAAGCTGGTAGCACACTGCCTAGAACCGATAGCTTGGCCTGCTGACACGCTGGCTCCGGAGTGTCCGGCCTGTTCCGCTATGTTTCTTTGCAGGCTTTTTCGAGCTCTGGGGCCAGGGCTGAAGCACAGCAGAGGAGCATTTTGTTTGATGTTGGGATTGCCAGCTATGATCTTCCACAGCCGTCATTCTTGAGAAGTTATCCAGTAAAACTTGCTGATCAGCTCACTTTCATCCTTAACTTGAAGATGTTTGTATTGACACCGCCTGGGAATAGATGGTAACCATTGGGGACCGTAGGTGACCTTCACACAAAGTTTCAGAGGAGGCAGTTTGCATGCAATTGTGCCCAAACCAAGCTGAGATCGCCTGCAAGAAGCCAGCGACCGCATG